TTAAAATTTTCTTGATTGGTATTTGAGACATGAGAGTTTCTTTTTTCTTCCTATTCTAAGTCTAATATTTGTGTCTGGAAAAAGAGCTCCTAACTGTTAATAGCATGGACACAATGAGAAATACAATTTCCCTTTTGATTTTAATACTGAAAGTCATTCAGGGCTATCGCTCAGAGAGCTCATGGCCATTACTGCTGTCCTTAAGGATGCTTAGGGTTATCCGTGGGTCAAGTCGATCCTGACAAACAGAAAGTTGCTCTATTTGACAAGTACCTACAGATCTAGAAAGCAAAGTACACCTGGGTATGTTGTTTAAAGGTAAGTGATAGACCTATTATTAGTTTGAAATTGATATATGTAAAAAAATGTTACAACAGTCTTTTGATCACAACTTGTTACCTACCCAGGCCAATCATTTTCAATAAGAGCAGGCAGGCTGTTTATTCCTGCATAGGACAGCCCTTCTCATATCAGACCAGCTCTAAGCAGTCATTAAAAGGTAAAAAGCAAACAAACTACCTCTCTACAACTGTGATCTTTGGCCCTGGTGAGCTCCAGAGATTAAGCCTGGCCCCAGACAGATACTATGTCTTCTTAATTCTCTCCAGTCCCTTGCTCACTCAGGGATCAGAGAACCCAGATCAATGATCCTTGCTTGAAGATATTTAAACTGGAACAATAAAAGTAGTTTGACCATTGCATATAAAAACTAGAAGGAGCGTCTTAAGAATAAATGTCCTTGTCCTAGAAAAGCACTTTTGGGATTATCATTGCAAAGGATGTTTACTTGCATGTTTCCATCTCTGAAGAAAACAAATGGTCAGCTTGTTCTCAGTTCTCTGAGTCAGTTCTGACTTGTAGCATCCTTGTGTGCAGAGCAGATATATGACCTCTGGGGCTTTAGATTGTAATGTTTGGAAGCAAATCTCTTGGCCCATCTTCTGAAGGGCCTCAGGGTGGATCTGAATTGCTAACCTGGTGGTTAGCAGTCAAATGTTTGACTGAAAGGGAACACCACTGATATGCTTGCTACTGGTAAGATGAAATATGATAGACCAATTTCAGTATAACCTCTAGATGAAATTAGACTAGAGAGGAATGCCTGGCAATCTATTTCAAAATTAGTCAATGGAACCTTATGGATCACAAGAGATGTTGTCTGATATAGTGCTAGAAAATGAACCTCTAGTTTGGAAGTCATTCAAAACCCAGGGTAGCCACACCAGTGGACTTGAGCATATCGGTGATAATGCAGAAGGCATAGGACCATGCAGCATCTTGGTCTGTTATACATAAGGTTACCATGATTTGGAGTTGATTCAAAAACAATAAACAACAATGTATCGTTACTATTAGTTACTATTGTTAAAACTCTACGAATCTCCTAGCAGGGGATCTAGTACTTGATCACAGAACCTTCCCCCCGGCTCCCACGGCTATTAGTGTTCTTATGGGACTCACAGGGGCTGGAATCTAGTTTGGAAGTCATCTGCAGCACTGGATTCTACAGAGGTTTGCTGGTTCTGGTGAGGATTAGGGTGAAATGTTGACTCACTAATGAGTGAATAGAAATATATGCTACTAAACCAAAGGTGGGTGATTTTAATCTGCAGACTCCAGGCCTGCTTTTAATTGTTTTTGGTCAAACATTCTTCTAAGTGGTATAGCATTGGTCTGTCCATTTGCTGTACAGAGGTAACTCATGGTTGCTGTGATGCTGAACACTGTAACACTGATGTGTCAAATGTGATAATGGTTACCCATGGTGAAGTGTTTGATGGAGCTTTTTGATTAAAACAAGCTTGGAAGCAGAAGTGGCATCACTTCCAAAATGGCTTGCCTCTGGAAACTCTATGACCGTGGAGAAATGATGGAAGTTATGCAAGTGTTCAGGTCTTTCATTCATAGGGTCGTTATGAGTCGCCTATGACTCGAGGGCACTTAAAACAACAACAACATAAGACTTACACTCTCCACTTATTGCCGTTGAGTCAGAACCAACTCATAGCTAATTTTACCACTGAGCTTCCAAGGCTTTAAATCACATGAGAGAAGATTGTCCATCTTTCTCCTGAGGAGCTTCTGGTAAATTCAGCCTCCAGAAAAGCGTGCCTTTCAGGTTAGCAGCAAAGCTCCCTACGGACTATGTGTGCTGCCAGAACTCTGTAGAAATAACTTCCTAATTATGGTTGGATCCTGAAGCTAGTGGTCAAGGAAGACTATGACATTTCCTTTCTTGAAAGATCTGTAGATGCTTCCTCCTTCCCTTTCTGTACATTGCCTTCCTCCATCTCACACTTCTTTAATAAAACCATTAGATGCCCATCTGCCTGGGAGTGTTGAACTGTAGGTCTGTTACAAGTGGAATCTGACACAGGGAGCCTAGATCCTTCCCACCCCATGAGTCTATTTTTGTGGATCTCACTCATGGCAGCCTTCCATGGAAGGCACAACCTCATTAGGACAGGAGGTAACTGAGTGTTTTAGCTAAGAGGAGAGGGGGCTAGAGATAGGAAAAGTTGATGCAATCATTTTTTGGCAGGAGTTGGAACCAAAGCAGCAGGAGAGAGTACGTTTTAAGACTCTCTGGCAAAGCAACTTCCTAATCTGTCACTGAGTATGTGTAAAAAAGTGATTAGTGGGTCTCTATATTTATCATGATTACTCACAAATACGTAATTTACATAATATATACAGCACATTAAGCACTATGTCACCTTATATAATGTGCATATGTATAATGTATATGAGTGTTATGTAATGCCAGTCTGGAGGCTCTTCCAGGTTCTGCCAAGTATTTCCTAATTTATTTGGCAATTTTAATGTATCTTTTCCATCTGTGGAAAGAGCTCTCTTGAGAAGAGCTGGTCTCTGACCTGAAATATAATCATAGTTCTATATCTACACTCAACTCCCTGAGATTACTCAACAAAGACCAAAGCATAATAAGATACAACTCCTCACCCATTAGTCCAGGGATAATACACTACATTGAAGAATCTCTGTTTCATTCTTTTTATTGCTAATGGGTTGGAGCATGGGGGCAGGTGAGAACATGTCTGTGGTACTTTCAGAGTCAGAATAAAATAATTTAAGGACTGTTTCTCCATTGGCTGCCAAACTGTGCGGCTCTGAGAAGTCACCACATCTCATTAAGCCTTATTTTCCTCAGTATTAAGGTAACGACAATGATATTGTCTCTGCTACCTCAGATGATGCTGATAGAAGTCATATGACACAATAAGAAACCTCCACAATAAGAAGTCACAGTCACAGTATTTACGGGATGGTTGCAAGGTAAGATTAAACACCATCACAAGACGTGCCAAATGGGAAGCACAATTCCACTGATGTTTGTCATATTCTGTGGATCTAAAGAGCGTGTGGGACATATCTCTCAAGCAACATTGCAAGTCCTGAGCATTAGGGAAGAGTGAGTAAGGGTGAGGCCCCACAATGGCCCCTTTGCAAGATTTCTGAGTCTCTGAAAAGAAATTTTATTTGTTGATAGTGCCATATCTCAATAACCTCAACGCTGGGGGAATCAGGGTTCAAACACGTGCAAAAACTTTTGTAATTGTCATTGAGTCAGTGGTCCCCAAGCTTGAACCTGCCTTAGCTTCTGAATCAAGTGGCTTCCAAACTCTGTTGTTATTCTGGAGCGTATTGGTCCCATCACCAAGTATACCAATAGTAGGTTAGTTCTACGGGTAACCCGGCCTTCCCCTGTGCAGCGTAGGTCCACAAGGATGGTCCTAGATCTTGGTCAGTTGATTGCTTCATTCAGAGTTAGTCTCAATTTGTACACACAATCTTAATTCTCTTCTGGTCCTCACCCAGTACAGCTCAGTGGAGCGACCTCAAGTGGGCCCAGGCTTCTTCTTGAGAAATTTCTGAGTGGAATGGAGGCCCACACGAGCAGAGAAGCAGAGGCAAATATTTCTCGCAATGAAGTTCTTGGTAGACTTGCCCTTGGGAAAAGAGGGCCGTCAATTACTGGCTAGAGCCCCTTGAGCTCTGTCGAGACTCCCCCATTTTCTCGCTTGTGGCACCTTGTAGATGTCTTAACCTTCATTACTCTTCCCTGAGGTTATCCTTGCAGCTCAGAATGTTTTCTAGACTTAAAGGCTCTGATGATTGTGATGAGGGTGACACATGGAGGGTGATGATTTGGTGTGTTCCCTGGTGCCTTCAATGTCGAACCAACTAACTTCTTGCCAGCTGAGGCCAGAGAACCTGTGGAAAACATCAAAAGGTCCTTGTGTTGTTACGTGTGTCTGTCTGTCCAAACGTGTGTTGCTCATTCATTCTTCCCTGGCAATCTGAATCCAAATGGAATCAACTCTGAAGTGACCAGATGTGACCTTATTCTTTATTATCTCCATGATGACATGCATTCCCAAGTCACAGTAGCCAACAGATCATGTACAAGGCTTGTTTCTGAGACTCCTGTTCCTTATCTGAAAAACAGGAAAGTAAGTGATGCCCATCACGTTTTTCAAGGTTGCTCTGAGAATGCAGAATTCGGAGATCTTGGACTCTTCAAGGTAAAAAACTACTTTTCCTTAACCCCTATGATCACTACAGGGAAGTGTGTCTTGACAATGAACTAACGGAATGGAAGAGTGAGGACTTTCCTTTCCCCTCTTCCTATACTACATATACAATATAGATTTTTCAATCTGGAAAAGCCCATCTATAAATAGAATTTATATATATAAATAGGTATATAAATATATATACTACATATACACACACATACACACACAAAACCAGGGCCTTCATGTCATATTGTGAGGGCAGTAGGTACAAAGAAGCAGAAGAGAACTACTCGATGGTTTGTCTCCTGGCCTCCGCAGCGAGGCCCTTCCATCCCATCTTCTTGCCTTCAGGAATAGTTTGCCTCCAGGGCTTGGAACTCAAATGAGAAACGTGCTTTGGCTTGAAAAAGAAAGAAGCTGGGGGTGTTTTTCTTTCTCTTTTTTTCTCCCCCCCTTCCCTTTTTACACAATATTATGACACCAATTTGAAAAATAAATCCCAGTTTCTCTGCTTCCCCTCCCAGGTGTTCACAGAACTAAGAAAATAAATACCACATCTAAGGTGCGTTGGGCAGGCAGCTGTGGGCTCTTGGAGCGGTCTCTAAACAAACACACCACCACCAGGAGAGAGAAGGCTTCAGGGAAGTAACAAGTGCCCACGGACAGAGAAAGAACCGAGAATGGAAACAGCTTTCCGCAGCCCTTCTGCCTCCTCAGCAAGTCGAGGTTGAAGCTGTCGCTCAAAGGGTGGCTGATGTGCGCTCGCTGGGTCCTGCCAAAGATTATCTTCTGAGCCTCCGAGGCTGGTTTGTCTCTGAACAGAGGGATCTTTGTGTAAGTTCTCTGGAATGGGAGTGCCTACCCTGGGCCACATCCGATTTCACCAGAGGCAGGAAACTTGCAGCGTGCTCTTCGCAAGCGTCCATGAAGAACCTTGCAGGGCTGGTGGAAAGAAAGGGGGGGGGGATTTCTCCTTCAGGCTCAGAAAGCTCCACACAAGGCCTTCTGGGAAGGTGAAGGTCACTGCCTGAGCCAGCTAGACCCAGCAGACCCTACGTCCCCTCAAGATGTTCTTTTGGCATAGACTCTGCTGGGGGTGTATCCGTTATTGACAGAGCTAGAATGTATAGCAAAGTGAAGGTTTTGTTCCTGAAGGGGGTTTTATCCCACTAGTTAGAGTATGTTTGTGTGTGTGTAAGAGATTGAGAGAGTGTGTGTGTAAATATGTGTGTGAGTGTGTAGTTAGAGTTTCTTGTTTTCTCTGGCATCTGGTACGTTGTTTAGTCTTTTGAACGGCTCTTCCTCCTCAGTGAAAAGAAGCTGCTCTTCTGGGGAGGCCCCATCATCATGGGCACTTGGTTCTTGTGAGTAATTTTAATCTAAAAAGCAAAGAGGCAGAAATGAATTAGTGGCAAATCCCAAGAGCTGAAGGCAGAAATGAAGGAAAGCCAGCGTCAGGCTGGAAGGGGCCCCCATGCAGAAGGACGACTGTCCTTGAACAGATTCAGAATTGGCAACTCGACCCTGACTGGGCCTGGAGCTTGGCACTGCTGGAAGTAGGGGGCGGAAACACTGACGAGAGACAGGTGTGAGCTTCCCACGTGAGATCAGCTCGCACCTGTCTTGTGTCCTTGCTATTCATAGACTTTAAGAATGTCACAGCTGGAGGGGACCATACAGACCTTCCCATTCAACACTTGGAGAGGACAGAATGGAGACCCAAGGCTCTGCTGGGTCTCGGATTGATCTAAGGTCATATAGAGTGGGGTAGAACAGTCAAAGCCCAGGTCTTCAGACACCCAGCATGCCCAGAGCTGCCCAGGCAGTGCGAAGATGTCTACCAGTAACTCAAAGCTGACCGAGAGACTTCAGGCTGACCTCTGCCCCAGTCAGCACCACGGGGAAGTTTGTCAATTAGTCCCTTGGAGGTTTCTTTCCTCTTTTCTTAGCCTTCTAGGGAAGACTCAACCTTCTTTCAAAAGAGTGTGTGTGTGTGTGTGTGTGTGTGTGTGTGTGTGTGTGTGTGTGTATCTCGACCCTATGAACAAATGACCTAAATCCTTTCTACAACTATCATGGTTTCTAAAAGTTCATAGAGTTTTCAGAGGCATGTTGTTTAGGAAGTGGATGCCACTCCTGTTTCCAAATATATGTGTGTGTATTGTTGTTCTGTACTGTTGAGTTGGAACCAACCCATAGCTGACCCTCCAGAGGGTTTTCAGAGGCAGTGAACTGCACAAAACCTACTTTTTTTGCCATCCTTCTCCCACAGAGGTTGCAGCTAGTGGATTCGAACTGTGTACCTTTGGGATTGCAGCGCAGCTTCTTGCCATTAGGCCACCAGAAGTACACACACACACATACACACACATAAAAAATTTTTAGGTTTTATGGTTATTTTTGTTCTGCAAACTTTGAATCTACTTGAAATGAAAGATATTGGTGTATGCTTATTCTTATCTTTCTTTCCCAATCTTATTCTTAGAATATGGCTTAAAATACTTATTCCTAATTGGATGCACTCTAGTGATACTGCCGTCTCAAGACCTGCACTATCGACGATGTTTGAGCAGGCATGACACATGTTCACAGTAGGAAGGCGATGTGGGACAGGAGCATTTATGATTTAAAGATGAGGGTTCGAGTCCCAGTGCCACCACTTTGCTGTGGTTTTAGATGACAAATCATTTAGTCTCCAGAGTCTATGCTTCTTGAATTGTAAAATGAGGATCACAACATTTGTCCAATTTTTCTCACAAAGTTTTGTGAAAATCAAATTATATAACTAAAAGTTCATTGTAAACTGTAGAAAAAAAATTTAAGTAAATAATTGAAAGATAAATATTGAAAAGTTGAAAGATAAAGAGAAAGATGCATGCCAAATGAAACAGCATCTATGAATTCAATCTCACAGTTTTCTTAATAGATTATTAGAAATGGCCACGGGTAAATGCATACATACATCAAGAGAAAGGCTCAAGAGCAGAGGTCCATCCTCAAGCTTGACTAGGGCAAATCTAGTCATGTCAAAGAAAGACAGGGAAGGAGTCAGAGCTTATTGGACAGCTGTTGACATTATTCAACTTGGTGAGCTGGAGTGGGGAAAGTGGCTCTGAGAGTACCACGGATTTAGGTTTACAAGACCCCAGGAAATGGCAAAGAAATTACAGAACCAAAAGACATTGTGGAGAAAGAGCATAGCTGGTGATTAAAAAGGGGCTCGTGGTGCTATGGTTAAGGTATTGAAGTGCCAACTAAAAGGTTAGTAATTTGAACTCAACAGCTGTTTTGTGGGAGAAAAATGGGGTAATCTGATAGCCTCAGAAATCCTATGAGGTGGTTCTACTTTGTCCTACAGAATCATTGTTAAGTCGGAACTGATCAGTGGCTCATGGGTTGGTGGGTGAGTGATAAAAAACCAAACAAAAACACAACAAAAGCCAAACCCTGTGGGGCAATGAATATTATTTACTATGACTCATCCAGTGACTGCCTTCCATTTTGTCAGAGATCGTAAATCCTAGCCTCTATGTTCTTGGGATCCTATTGTGGAGTGAGTTGTCTGCTGTGTTAATGAAGCAGGATTGGGGTGCGATGTATCCTGAGTTCCTACTTTGCTAGAGGGTTAGACCCCTCAGTTCCGTTGGGAGCATGGTCTATACCTAAAATAGATAAGGTCTTGGTCTTGATTTTTCATCTGATCTCATCCAGTCATCCTGCAAACCACCATCTGGCAAAGCAAGCCATTTACTTTTTGTTCAACCCCTGCAGCCGTGTGAGTCTTGGAACCCTTCAGACTGATGCTAGATCCACAGATAAGGGACTCAGTCAGACTCCACAATCTCAACATCTATTTCCTCATGGTTTTTTAATTTCTGTCTGGCATTGCAGTGAATTATGGAACCCAAAGTCAAAGACGGGCAGGAGAGGGCTGAGGGGACAAGGAAGAGTCGATGTTAGAGAGGGTAGAGTGACACAGGAGTTTGAAAGAGCTGGTCGTTTGAGACATCTTTAACCTTTATCTGATAGGAATCAGCTTGTGTTAATCCTTCTAATAGAAAATGATGGGTGCTAAGTGTCCAATAAGGTGATTGCTTTTGACTCCAAATAATACAGGATAGAACTGCTGCACAAGAGTTTCCTGGCTAAAATCCTTATGGAAACAGGCCATTCTGTTGCCCCTGGGCCAGTTTAAACTACAAATTGTTTGTGTCACTCCGGGCATGGTGAGAAGAGCTGAAAAATTAATCTTGTGTTGGTTTCCAGGAGCCTGAAGACCTAGAAAGGGAGTGAATATTTCTATTTTGCAAGTCACCAGAGGAGCAAACCCAGACTACATCTAGTGCCATTTTATTAACCTGTGTGACTGTGTTATTTTGTACTTTCTTGGAGCACTGTTCCAGAATTCACAGAAGGGAGGCATAGACCAGGGTTTGCATTGCTTGTGGTACAAAGCGCAGCACAATTTGACAGTAATTGCTGGTAAACCTCTATCTCTTCTGAGCCCCCAGGCCAAATGAACTTTTGAGGTGAAGAACTTCTCATTTTGGTATTTCCTTAACTATTCCTCCTCTCTGACTGTGAGCTAGAGGAGGGTTTACCAACAATTAGAATAATCGATAAGAAAGAGAAAACATCCTGGCCATGGAAAGAGTGGTAGTTGGGGCAGAAGGTGCCAGCTGGAGCACTGTCTACATTTTTTTGCTGATGGGGCCCATTGGTTTCTTTTTTCTTTTTTTTTTTAAGATAATAGAAGACCCTTGCTTCTCCTTTTTCTCCCTCTAGCTGAACTATCTGATCACATTTCTAGGGCAAAGAGGAGGAAGTGAAAGTCAAATCCCTCCCATTTGGTTTTTTAGCAGTTTTGAACAAGGTTTTGACAGGGTAAGAATTTGGAGCTTCTGGGTAACATGAGATTTTGGTGTGGTTTTTTTGGTATGGTTTGTGGATTTTATTGCCACAGATAACTGAAAGTTGATTGTAGGCATGCCTCGTGTGAACAAACCAAAGCCATTACTATTAAATTGATCCCAATTCATAAAGGTCCAACAGGACAGAGGAGAACTGCCTTGTATGGATCCTGGGACTGTAATCTTTATGGAAAGTGTCACATTTTCATCCTGCAGAAACCCTGGCGGCAGTGTGTGCTACATGTTAGATAACTAACTAAAAGGTGAGTGTTTCAGATCCACTGGCAGCTCTACCCGAGGATGCGCAATCTCCTTCTGTAAAGATGTACAGACTGGGTAACCGGATGCCGGACCACTAAGAGTCGGAATCAGCTTGAAGGCGGTGGATTTGGTTTTTGGAATTCTGTTATGTCTCCTGAAAGAAAAATGTATGAAATTATTTCTTCATGTCAGTTCCTTAACACACTGGAGTGTTTTGTTGTTGTTGTTTGTTTGTGTGTGTGTGTTTATTTTTTTTTTTTTGGTTGGAATATTCTTTTTTACTGCATGAAAAGTTGTAAACGTTCACAGAATGACAAATGTATTATAGTGAAATAATTTGACAGTATTACATTTGTGTATATAAATGAACTGGTGACAAAAACAAATTGCCTGCAATCTGAATTCAAAATTTAAAGTGATGAGCCCAAAGCAGAATAATCAGGAAGGAGTTTGATTGAGAGCAACTCCATGTACGCAGAATAGAACAGAGCCTTCGAGGCTGGGACCCAGAGCAGCAAGCTAGGCCTCTCTTCTCAGGTACCTGTGGGTGGGTTTGAACTGCAAACCTTGTAGTTAGTATTTGAACACTTATACATTTTTCCACTACTTAGAGACTCCTTTAAGAGAGCACAGCAGAGAGCCTGTTGGCACAGCACATTACATGTTGGATACATCAGTAGTTTGAATCCATCAGCCACTGCTCCACAGAGGAAAGATGAGGGGGGCTCTTGTTACCTTGGGGACTTAATGAAGGCTGCTAAGGAGTCAGAATCAACAGCACAGGGTTTGGTGTAGTGGGTGAAATAGTTAAAAATCCCATTGTAGGAGATAGATGGAATTCCTGTGAGTCCGAAAGATTTGGCTGATCTGCTTTAGAACAAGGCAGCCATTGAGTCAACTGATTGAATGGCAACTGACTACCTGCCTTTTCAAGCCCTGAAGGAGAGAGAATTGTACATTTCTGTAGTCCGTTTCTTTGGTAATTGGGCAGGCTGGTCAAGAAATAAAATGGGTATGATTTCCATAAAAAAACTTCACATGATGCTTACAATATCCACAAGGAGTAAGGAAACTCTTCCGCATAGTTCAAAATGGACAGAATTACTACTCACTCATTGTGGCTGATTGGGAATCAATCCAGCTGGCTTGTGGAGACTGTAAATTGCACAGGAAGAGATTGCCCATCTTTCTCCCAGGGAATGGCTGGTGGATTTGAACCGCTGGAGAGGTGTGGCCTTTTGAGGTGCCAGTGCAACTCCCTACAGACTAGGCCAACAGAGTTCTCGTTGTTGTTGTTGTTATTAGGTGCCATCAATTTGATTGTGACTCATATGAGTCTATGAACAACAGATCTGAAACCTGCCCTATCCTGTGTCACCCTCACCTATCTCTAACACACTTGAGCCAATTGCTACAGTCATTGTGTCAATCCACCTTGTTGAGGGTCTTACCCCCTTACACTGACCCTCCACATTTCCAAGCATGACACCCTTCTCCAGGACTAGCTTCTTCTAATAAAATGGCCAAAATATGAGAACACTCTGCGGTTTATACGATTTTCCCTGTAAAATGAAATGAAAATTTTAAACTTCACTAGTGCTTACAGTTGATTGTGGAGCCAAGTAAACAGAAGTAAACAATCTCAGAAATCTCTTCATCATCTATTATGATGCTGCCAATTGGCCCAATGGTGACAATCTTTGTTTTTTTAATGTTGACCGTCAATCCATATTGAAGACTGCAGTCGTTGACCTTCTGCAGCAAGTGCTTCATGTCCTCCTCAGTTTCAAAAAGCAAGGTTGTGTCAACTGCGTAATGCAGATTGTTGATAAGTCTTCCTTCAATCTTGAGACCACATTTCTCCTCACAGAGCCCAATATCCCAGATAATCTATTCTTGCACACAGATTGAAAAGGTATGGAGATAGGATGCACCCCTGGCATACGCCTTTCCTGATTTTGAACCATGCAGTGTTTCCTTGCTCTTTCTGATGACTGCTTCCTGGTCCAAGTATAGGTTTTGTATAAGCACAATCAAGTGTTCTAGGATTCCTATTCTTCTCAGAATCAGCTACAGTTTGTTGTGATCCATTGGGAAGTCTGCTGTCAGGGATCTTTCCAAAGTACTGAAGAGCAACGATGTCAGTCTGGAGACTAAAGTGCACCTGATTCAGGCCATGGTTTTTGTAATTACTTGCTGTGAGTCAGAAAGCTGGACAATGACTGGGGATGATAGATGAAGAATTGATGTCTTTGAGTTGTGATGCTGGAGAAGAGTACTGAATATACCATGGACGGCTAGGAGAACAAATAGGTTCATCCTAGAGAGTTTGGTGAAGCAAGGTTGCTCCTTGGGGGCAAGGATTCTGAAGCTTCGTCTGACATACTCTGGATATGTTGCAAGGAGGGATCGATCAGTCTTTGGAGAGCGACGTCATGCTTGGGAGGTTGGAGGGACAGCACAAGGGAGAAAGACTCTGGATGAGATGGGTGGATTTGTGATTGGGTAATGGGGCTAGTAGGTGTGTTGGAGACAATGAGATTGGCACAGGATAGAGCAGGGTTTAGGGCTATTGTACATAGAGTTGCTGTGAGTTGCAAGTGACTCAACTGTATTTAACAGCAACAACAGTGCTCACAGTTGGCTTTGTTTTGAAGGGGCCTTTTCCATAAAGGAACAGAACTTTACTACCTCAAGAGAAGTAATAATCAGAGGGGCTCCTTCATGAATGCTGCCCTCAGAGGATCTGTGATTAAACTCACACCTGCTATGATAGTCAATGGCCACATGTGTAGACCATTAGGAAGTGCCAGAAAGTGGCTTTAATTTCAGCACGAGAATAAGAAAATAGGGGAAAAGAAATCAGAAAGGTTTCAAATATGGTGCTTTCTCCTTGCACTATAGCTCGAGGTGAGCAGTGAGTAGAGACGGCATTTTCCAAAACAGGCAGTTTCTTAAATACCATATGTATAACAGGCCAGTTCTTTCAAATTAGTTTCAATTAGTCTATGATGGTGAGTTATTATTTATACAAGAGTTTCTTAGGGCTCTCTTCTGTGCTGTGGATTTGCCTACACAGTATTTTGCCAATAGTGCCTTACACAGATTATTGTGATTTTATAATTCTTTTACTACCTTACAGGAAGTGCTTTTTCACAATTCTTTCATAAAAATGCCTTCGCTATTGGCATTGTTTTGTCAAGTTAAAATAAAAAACAAAGATATTTCACTTAAATTTGTCCAAGGTCCCTATTTAGAAATATAAAACATTTCTAAATGTGAATATTTTTTTAAAAATACGGGTTAGGGGCTTTTTTTACTTTAAAAAGTTATTGTTTTAAATTTTTTATTAGTATTTTTATCATTCATATACCTTTCCCATCATGATGTCTTTTTCTGAGGACAGGCTTCTCTGAACAACATGTCCAAAATATGTGAGATAAAATCTCAACATCCTTGCCTCTAAATAGCATTGTGATTGCATTTCCTCCAAGACAGATCTGTTTGTTCGTTTGCTGGCTTCTGGTATATATTCATTCAATATTTTTTGTCAACACCACAGTCCAAAAGCCTTGATTCTTCTTCTGTCTTCTCTATTCATCGTCTAACTTTTAGATGTATATTAAACAACTGAAAAGTCTATAGTTTGGATCAGGAGCACCTTAGTTCATAAATGGACATCCTTGCTCTTCAGCACTTTAGAGAGGTCCCTGGAAGCAGATTTCTCCAATGCAACACATCTTACGCTTTTTGACTGCTATTATCATTGAACTGTGGACACAAGTAAAATGAAACTATTGACAACTTAAATATTTTCTCCTTCTATCATAATGTTACCTATATTAGTTATTTGGTGCTGTTACAACAGAAAGAGCACAAATAGGTGGCTTTAACAAACACTAGTTATTTTTCTATAGATTAGGAGGCTAGGAGCCCAAATTCAGGTGTGGAAGTCTGTATCTGTCTGCTCTGAGGAAGGTCCTCGTCTCGGCTCTTCTGCTCTTAGGTGATCTGCATGTAGCTGGTCTCTCTCTTTCCTCCATCTCTGTTCTTCTTCTTTAGTCTCTTTTATATCTCAAAATACCAACCTACCCTCATTCCCTGAGGAGGAGCTGATGAACTCAAACCATCGACCTTGCAATTATTAACCCTACATGTTCCCTCATCAGCACTGTGCATCAAAATAAGTAGGAGAGATTCCTCCCACTTTTTCTTAATTGTACCAAAGTGATAAATGGTTATTAGTTTTGCTATAGTGTGTTTCTCTCTCTCTCTCTCTGTTTTTAATTCTTCATAAACCAGAAGGTTGAGGAAAGATTTTTGCATAGTCATTTTAACCTTTGGTAACCTTTGCGGAAGATGCCATCTCTAGAGCCTCAGGGTTCAGTGTTGTAATTTGCAGTCCACGTGGGGGATGTGAATGTGCTCAAGTGCTAACTGCAAAGTTGGAGGTTTGAAAGCATACACAGGGGAACACAGAAAGAAAGGCTTGGCAATTGTATTCTTTAAAAACCAGCCACTAAAAACGTGATGGAGCACAGTTCTACTCTGACATGTATGAGGTTGTCGTGAGTCATAATTGACTCCATGGCAACTGGTTTGAATATGGAACAAAGAGTTACAGAAATATACCTCAGCTTAGACCTGGTAACAGTCTTGTGAAAGCCAGCTCCTTCAGTATAATAGTAGAAAAACAACTTAATGTTCTGAATGGCTCAAAATAGCAGGTAATTGAAGTACCTCAATAGCCTATTAGCGTAAGGAAGCTTGGAAACACAGTTGTCTTTCGAGATATGCACATTCATGATAGTATTGAGATCACTGAAGCACTATTTCAGTTGTTGTTGTTATTGTTACGTACTGTCAGTCGGAAGTGACTCATAACTGATCCTCCAGCAGGTTTGCAGAGGCATAAATCACTTGGCAGGAGACTGCCCGTCTTTTTTGTGTAGAGCAGCTGGTTGAATTTAAACTGCATGCCTTCTGATTAGCAGTGCAGCTCCTTACCACTAGGTCTCCAGGGATCCCTCATATTTCAGTTGTTGTTGTCGTTGTGTGCAGTTGAATCAACTACAAGTTAAAGTGAGTCTAAGAACAACAGATCGGAATCTTGCTCTATCCTGAGCCAACCTCACTCCTGACCCATCTGACCCCATTGCCATAACCATTGTGTCAATCCGCCTTACTGGGGGTCTTTCTCTTCTGCACTGAACCTCCACCCTTCCAAGCATGATGCTCTTCTCCAAGGACTGATCCCTCCTGGCAACATGCACATAGTATGTGAGCCAGAGTTTCAAATTTCCTTGTCTCCAAGGAGCAAACTGGTTTCATCCCCTGCAGGGCAGACCTGTTTGTCCTCTTGGCAGTCCATGGTATAGAGAAGAATATCTCAGAGAAACTCTAAATACAAGTGGCTTCTCTTAGCCATAAAGTTTCCACCTCAGTTTCTCTTAGGGAGGGATGTATGGTTTCTGCAAGTGATACTAAATGGAGAGCGAGTGCAGGTATAGCAAGTTGGAGAAGGAGGAGGTTCTCTTTGTTTGCTCGTTTGTTCATCATAGAGCACACATTCCTGAGTAGCTGCTACAAACCAGGGATTGTGTGAAGTCCTGGGTGGCAGTGCAATGACTAATGTAGATTAGCGGTGTGGTTTCCCCACTCCTAGGTTCTCCTGGGGGTCCTCGGAGCTGTGGACACAACTATGGTGAAGTGTGTCTGTGCCCTGTGGGGAGTTCTCTAATTCTGTGGTTATATCAACTGGGTAGGAGATCTAGAGTAAGTGCACAGACTCAGATTCCAGATAAGGAAGAATTTCCCAACAGTTACATTTGTTCATCAGAGAATAGTCTTTCATTCTGGAAGTAAGTTCCCTGATACTGGAATGATCCAGGCTGGACAGGTTATTATGCATCAAGTTACAGAATTCACTAACTAGACTTGTGAGCTCTTGGAAGACAGACTTAGCTTTGTAACTGATGTCTAAGTGCCTGACACATAATGGGAACTGAATAAAAGTTTCTTGGGTACATGAATGGATGGATGGATGAATAACATGGGAGTGGTCCCATGCAACTCTGAGATTCAGTGATAGAATTTTAAGCCAGGGCTCCAGAATGAAGCTTCTCACGCCCATGTTTTTGAAATCTTTGTACTGGGAAAACTCACCGTGCAGGGTGGCTGCATCCAGGGCTCGCCATCCACTTGCATTGGCAGCAGCTTGTTCGTCCTGGAGCATCAAAACCAAGAAAGCAGAGTGAGCTTCCTGGGGCTGAAGAATCAGAGCTGGTCAGCATGACAAACAGAAGTGGGAAGTACCCCTTCCCTGTCCACCTGGGAGTGACTAGCATGCCTTTTCTGGGGACTTTGTTAAAAGTGCATTTCTGAGCTCATCTTAGGGATCTGACTGGGCATGTCTGGGAAATCTGCATCTTAATAATCACACTGGCTGATTCTTTTGTCTTGGTCCTCAAACCACACTTTGGAAACACAGCCCCGGGCGAGCAGTGAAGCCCACGGAGGCAGTCTGGGAAACAGTGGCCAATAACCACGGCAGTACCACTGCTGAGCAGACCCTCAATCACACAGTTAGCCAGAGGGCCTCCAGTCCATGCCAAAAACCTCCCTACTGGGGTTAGGAAATGGGAAAGGGCCTGGTTTCTTTGTTGAGTGAGAAATTACATCATGCCAATGAGGTAATGTCTCCAACTACACAAGGTATAGCGCAAGTCTGAGTGTGTCCTGCTTTATACACTATACCCCATCCTAACAATCATCTTTTACCTTCTGAACAACTGGACACTCTCGAGTGGCAGGAACTGTGAACCTGGCTTAACTGAGAGAGCGGGCCATCTGAGAATATTGTCTTCTTTGCCATCTATCTAGAGTTCTTAACGAGAGAGTTAAGATACCTCTGAATTCCTTCTGTGGAATAGTTATAGATTTTCCTTATCTTGTCTTGGGAGAAAGGGTAGGTGTTTCTGGAGGCCTGAGGAATCAGGGGCCAGCTACCACTTCATTAACCATAGCTCTCATCTGTTTGACACCTGCCTCATTTTGGAAATTCTGAAACGAGGAAAGGATGTTGTGTTTTGATGTAAATTATGCAGAAAATATTGAATAACAAAAACAAATAATGAGAATAGAGTGACATTTTGGTTCCTGAAGCTGAGAAGAGTATCTGGAAAATGTCTAGGAGAGTGGGGCTTAAGGCGCTTAAGACTCACTCCCCAGTTTCTTCTGAAAGAGAGAAAAGGTCTTCCCTGTGTACATGGCTCTTCTATTCCTTACAGACACGGCTGCTGGGTTCTTTATGCATACATAATTCTGTCTTGGAAATGTTAACAGACCAGACCTCCTCATATTAGAGTCAGAGATAATGGAACCAGGAGGAGCCAGGGAGATTAATCTGGAAAATAAGGCTTCAGTGCAACATCACATCTGAAAGTAAAGGGAGAAAGGCCTTGGAGGGGAATTGAAAAGACAGAAGACAGGGAAAAGGAATTAAAATCCAAAGGCTAGTGGAATAATCCACATCTAAGAGATGGTGCAAGGGAGCTCTGGTGGTTTAGTGGCAAGGATCAGCTCTGCAAATCCACAGTGAGGCTATTCGAATCCACCAGCTGCTCCTGAAGGAAGATGAGTAATCTCCTCTCCTGTGATTTACTGCCTCTGACAACCTACTGGATGGCCAACTATGAGTCAGTTCTGACTCAATGGTATGTAACAACAACAATAACAACAACAAAAGATATGCAGAGTAATGCCTTGCACATTTCTCCCAAATGTCCTCTGATGACACTTGTCCGAGAGGTCCTGGAACAAAAGGGTTCACTGATCATATAACTGTGATACCCAACACATGCTGTGATTTCTTTATGGAGATCTCCAAGCACACTAACAGATCTGATCTTTACAGAAAGAGAACAGAGACAGGAAAGGGATAAAGACTCCTAAAATTTTCAGATACTAAAGAGTCTAAGTCATAATGTGACATTGTGAAGTTGCCTTTATTAAAACAGCATTCATTTAAGAGAGGCAACAGAAATAAAAGGACCTCTCCATCAGGCTTCTTCTTCCAGGAGCCTGGAGAGTGGATGACAGATGTGGTCTGCAGAAAAGCACACAGGCAGTCCTTGGGGGTTCGGACAATTCCCACACACTGCCATGGAGTTGATTCTAACTCAGAGCAACTTTTTGAGACAGAGTTTAACTGCCTGTAGGGTTTCCAAGCCGTAATCATCATAGATAAGGACTATGAACAGCTAGTGTGGGACAGCTAGTGGGTTGTGCTTAACTACTATGCCTCTAGGACTTCTGGACAACTCCTAAGCAAAGCAAGGCCAGGTCTACTGCTGTCAAGTTTGTGCCGGCTCATGTTTCTGAAGCTTTAAATCTTTATTCAAAGAGACAGCCTAACTTTCTCCCATGAAGCAGCAAGGAAATTAGAACTGCTGACCATTCAGTTATCAGCCTGACACTTTATTCACTATGTCACCAGGGCTCCTTTTTCTTGCACCAAAGCAAAGCTAAAGAAGAACCGCATGTACGTATTCTGGCTTATCTAGAAATTCTTAAAGACTCACTTAGGAATGGCTCTCTCTCTCAGAGCCCAGGACTGTCTGTGTAGGACTCAGCATTTCCAAGAAAGGGCTGAGGAGAGAACCTGGCTTTTGTCAGAGTGTGTTCTCTGACATGCCTCTAACATTTTCATTTGTAAAGATAATATACGCAAGGGGTTGGCTCTCTGGACTTTATAATCTTATATTCTTGTTTAGAGAATTGTACGAGCTCATTTTAAGAGAACAGCCAGCTGGGTGTGGTGGACCCTGTAGCTGATGTCCTTGATGACTACAATATGCCTGGCTTGGGGAACGATCTGTAAAGATAGTCTTTATAAACCTTATCAAGCTCCTGTCACTCCAGCACATCCTTCTCTTTTAAAAAAAAAAAAGGTGTCCTAATTGTCTGGAAATTTGCTAAGAGAGATCAAGAGACAGAGAGGCTGCTGGGTAATGAAGACGCGTACCTGACAGTGACAGAGGAGCACTGGGCCAGCCTCCTGCCCGCACTCTTCAGGCCGGTGTAGATTTGCCCCATCTCCATGGCTCCTTCCAGTCCCACCACTTCAAGGAGCTGGTCACTGAGGTCTGCAGAGTGAGACAAGCAAAGGCAGCTCATCATATCTCAGTTCCTCAGGGTGGTTCTGGCCAGGAGGGGTGGCCCCTTGGATGGCCAACCAAGATTCATCAGTACCCCTTCCTCTCCCACGAAACAGATTTTTCATACTCCGAACAGAGCATCTCCCCAAAGGTCAATACATGTACCTTTCAGGAACAGAAGCTCAGTTCTAGTGAAGAGAGATTTTGATTCAGAGCATTAATATGCATTCAATGCAGAGGTTGGCATATTAAGAATAACATAATGTAGAATAACATAAATGATAAATCAGCTATTCTGGGATAATTTTCAACCCTTATGCAGCTAAAGCCACACAGATTTGGGATCAGGATAGAAAGGAATGTTGATGACGATCATTCTCCAGAGCTGGTTCAACTCTTTTCCCTGGATGTTTGCTCCCCCACCCAGGCCCCTCCCGACAAAGACTGCTGGTTCATTTACCTCGGCTCGGCCTGTGGTAAGCCACCAGTAAGCCAAACTCCTTGGACACCCTCTGGGAAACCAGTGACCTCTTTGAGGACACCAGGTGCCTAGGCTAAGCCAAGGAAAAGAACATACTGGGTTCATAGGAGAAAAGGAGGGGCAGAAAATGTGAGCCACAGACTCAGAAGGCAGGATGGGTGCAATGGCCTCCCACGGTGTAGGTGGCTTCTGATTCAGAACCTGGGACCGGACCTTTCCTCCTCTCCCTGAGTCCCTAAGGCTTAGACTGTGACTAGTCAATTTCTTTTGAAAGCAATGGTAGGATTAAGGTTTGATGCCAGGCCCAAGACACATTTTTATGACCCAATTTTTATTTAAAATTAGAAGCAAAACAAAGAGGCAAATTCTTTCAAAGCGCCCATTCCTTTTCCTACCAAGACAATGCTTTGTTCTAGCCTGTGGCTGTTGTATAACATCCAACTCACATTGAGAAGAAAGAGGACTGAGCTTGTCTAAATGTTTTTGTTTATTTAACTGATGGCTCCTGTCTTCTAGGGTGCCTCCTGGTATACGTGTAACCGCGTTTGTTAAGATTGGCAAAGGGATATTTGTTTTTACACTTGTTTAGAAGACTCAACTATTGTTTTTAAAAACACCCTCTTGATGGATGGCTTTCTAATGAGGACAGTTAAACAAACCATTGGGCTGACCACAAATGTTTCAACCCTGCCACTGTCTAACCAAGAGATAGCCAGTGATGGACATCATCTGCCAACAGTTAGACAAACTGCATTAGTATTCTGTGACAGGCACAAAGCTGTTCCCTTCTCTGTCCTTTGACACAGTCATCTCCTTCTTGGGCACGGCGTGCACCACAATTGTGAAAAGATACCGTCTCCTTAGGAGCTTCAACTCATATGGGCTTGGAACAAGAAATCATGGTGGGGGGATGTTTGCTTAGGAGAGTGCCCCGGGCTCTCTGAAGGAGTTTGGATCTAATAAACAATGAATATCTAGACCTCTAGTCACTTAATTAGTTCCTTTCTTACCAAAGAGGGTTGAATAACCATTGGAGGGTTTTAACTTACTGTGTCATCTTAAAAGCGTTTATGAAAACAACGTGGGCTATGAGGGAGACAGATGGGGGTGGGGAGACGAATGAGAAGGAAAAGAAGGAAGACGAAGTGGAGGAGAAGGAGGAGAAAATGAGGAGGTGCAGAGAAAGCAAAGAAATATAGAGAATGAGGCAAGTGGGGGATTATGAAGGGGCAGGAGAGAGGAGGGGTGAAGGGAAAAAAACTTCAGAAGCTCTCTAGTTGCAAAAAGACAGATGCCTTGTAAAATATGTGACTCTGCACCAGTCTTTGGTATCTGACAGCACTGTGATGAAACATTCTCCTCCTTGAAACATTGCCTGGTAACAAAATGTTCTAAGAAGCAGAGAACTTAATAGACTCAAGTGTTTCAGCTTTTACAATGTCTTGGTCTTTTAACAAATTTTCCTGTTAAATGGCTTTAACTCTAAAGTTGTTATCACTTCCCACACATTACCTTGTAGCTATCACTTCCCACACATTACCTTGCTTCCTGGCTCTAGAAGAGAAGTAATGAAGGCTGATCTCATTGGTATGGGCTGGGGGTGGAGGGGTGGGGCCCCCGACTACGGGGCTGCAGAGAGAAATGGAGGGGAAGGGGCTATGATCATTGTGTACATTTTGCTCTTCCAACTGTGAATCTGTAATTCTGTCTTGAAATCTCCTCTGGCAGGGACTAAGATGCCACCTGCCTAGTGATGAGGCAAGCCATGACCTAGCTGATCTCTCTTACAGCTTCCTAGAATGCTGCCCTGGAAGTCCTGAAGGACTCGAACTTTGTTTCCCAAGTGCTCCGGACCACAAAGTCCCTCCCGTGTGATCTCTGTAAACAGCCCAGGGAATCAGGACGCTCTGGAACACATTTTGAAACATTCTGGCATTACTTAATCCACTTCTTCCAGCACAGAGATGTTTAGCCACAAATTCGATTGGGAGTGAAGACGAAACAGAAAACAATGCAAGACTGTCCAGACAAACGGGACAATGAATGGTTAGAATGAGGAATCCAGGACTGGAATATCTGTGTCTGGCTTTCATTAAGCACCTATGATTCTGAGTGGTTTGGGTAATTCTTAGTGTTGGCTTCACAAGCTATCATGCTTTAGTCATTGTCTTAGTTAATTGAGCTGCTCTAACAGAAATACCATCTTCAAGAAAGTAAAATTTATCCTCTCACTCTTTGGGAGGCTGTCCCTGATGTTGCTGAATTGGAACTGACTCACAGCTGACCCTTCAGTGGGTTTTAGACAGTAAATCTCATGAGAGGAGATTGCTCATCCTTCTCCCACAGAGCAACTGGTGGATTTGAACTACATGACTTTGGGATTGCAACACAGCTTCTTACCACTAGGCCACCGGAGCTCGCTAGCTAGATGTCTTCTTTGGGAGGCTAGGAGTCTGAATTCAGGGTGCCAGCTCTAGGGAGTGGTTATGTCAGTTATGGAGGAAGGTCCTTGCTCCCTTTTCAGCATCTGCACCTCTGGGATTCCTTGAAGCTCTCGTGATTTTGTGTCAATCTTTCTTTGGACTTAATAGGTTCTCAGCACAGGGACCTGGGTCCAAGGCCACTTTCTCCTCATAGCTCTTATTTCTTATGGCAGCAGGTCCCTTTTCTATTTCTCCTTTCACTTCTTATAAGATTGAAGGTTTGCAGACCCCACGCCCCGAGGAAACTCCCTTTACTGAGACAGAACTATGATGGGATTAGGAGTGATTCCTCCTACCCTAATCCTTTCTCAACGGATTGATTTGTCAGATAATGAGGGGTCACTATTAATTACCACAATGCATCGTTACTTCACTCCAAACCACTGAGAATCATGGCCTGGTCAAGTTGGCTTATTTTGGGGATACAGTCCAATTGATTTTAAGAGAGTATGTCCATGTCCTTTTGTAAAACAGGTATTTATTTACTCATTCACTCATTAATTCCACAGTCAATCAGTAATCTCCAAGTGTCAGACTCCCAGTTAATAACTGGAGATACAAACTGTTCTTTCTTGTGGGATGTTTGGCTAAGAGGGCAAAATGGAATTAGGGATTTAGAAAATGCGGCAATTGAACTTTTGTTGCTGTTGTTGTTAGTTGCAGTCAGTCAGCTCCAGCTCACAGTGACCACAACCCTGCCCAATCTGGAGCCGTTCTCTCGGGCTCCGCTGTGTTTAAGGCAAGGCTGCAGGCACTGCGCCAACCCATTTGGCTGAGGATCTTCTCTCTTTCACTGATCCTCTACTTTTGCAAGCATTTTGGGTTCTTCCTAGTAACATGCCCAAAGTATGTGAGATGGGTAACCATCCTTGACTCTGAGGAGCACCAGGGCTGCATTTCCTCCAAGACAGATCTGGTGGTTCTTTTGGCAGTCAGTAGTATAGTCAATATTCATCGCCAATACAATGATCCCAAGGCATCAATTCTGCCTTATTAATTTAATTTTATCTTAAGCACAAAGCAAAGGGAAGAAATATAGATATTAAGGAATTGAACAGAAGATTCCAGAGGGCAAAACAAAGTAAAGTATTACAATTAAATGTGCAAGGAGCTGGAGTCAGAAAATCAAAAGGGCAGAACTCGTATAGCCTTTCTTAAGCTGAAGGAACTGAAGAACAAGTCCAAACCTCAAGGTGTAATATTTAAGTATGCTTTGGGCAGAATATTAAATGATCCAGGAAGCATTAAAAGAAGATGGAAAGAGTATACAGAGTCATTGTACCAAAAGGAATTGGTGGACATAGAAGAATTTCATGAAAAAATGTGTGAGTAAGAGCTTGTGATGATGAAGGAAGAAGTTCAAGCTGCTCTGAAAGAACTGGTAAAAAAAACCCTACCAAGGCCCCAGAAATTGATAGTATACTAATTGACATATTTCAACAAACAGATGCTGCCCTGGATGTGCTCACCAAGTTGTGCCAAGACATCTGGAGGACATCCACCTGTACAACTGACTGGAAGAGATCTATATTTGGTCCTATTCCAAAGATAGGTGACCTGACAGAGTGTGGAAATTATCGAACAGTATCATTAATATCGCATGTAAGCAAGATTCTGCTGAAGATCATCCAAAAGCAATTGGAAAAGCAAATCAACAGAAAACTGCCTGAAGTGCAGGCTGGATTTAGAAGAAGCCATGACACTAGGGATATTTTAACTAATGTCAGGTGGATCTTGGCTGAAAACAGAGAGTACCAGAGGAATGCCTATCTGTGTTTCATTGACTGTGCAAAGGTGTTTGACTGTGTGGATCACAACAAACTATGGCTGACTCTAAGAAGAGTGGGAATCCCAGAACACTTGATAGTGCTTATGTGAAACCTATACTTGGAGCAGGAGGCTGTCACCAGAATAGAGCAAAGAAAAAATGCATGGTTCAAAACTGGGAAAGGTGTGTGCCAACGATGTGTCCTGTGTCCATATATTTTCAATCTATATGCAGAAGAGATTATTCGGGAGGCTGG